AGACAATAAAGCAACACTGAAATCAGAAGAATAACTTTTTAAACATACAATGTCGTTGTATTTGTCACACCTACTGATAAAACAATCAAAATATAATAACACTTCTTCACAGTTTAATATCGTCTTCTTTTAAGTGCTTTAGGATGATTAATATAAAGCCCCACAACTGAGACTTCAGTAAATATAGTTATATCCATTTTATAGGATACGTAAATCAAAAACTTAAAAAAAATTATAACATTGTATAGCAGTTTTTTTTAACACCGAGGAATGGAAACCATGCCACTAGATTCAGCCCATGGTTCAACCACAAGAACACACTTCCTCCCCAAAATAAAATTAGTTTTTAGTTAAAATATTAGCAAAAATATAAATCATTCTGTACTTACAGGACTGTGTCTCTGATATTAGCAATTGGAAGAAAAAGGGAAACAATACTTTTAGATTTTTATGTAAAACATTTGCTTTAATATAGAGACTTGCTTATTCTTACCCTTATTTTGCTTGAGTATCACCTATAAAGGTTCATATGTAGCATTATTTCTACTGTATAAGCAATCATTCTATCATTTTAAGGAAAACACTTAAGTTATGGTTTAAAATGATGTATTTCTATTTCATCATTTATTAAAGCATTCAGTCTTATTCTCATGGTTTTAAAGCACTTGCAATCCAATTCTATTCCAATATTGTTTCTGCGCATATGTTAAGAAGGGTCCCCAAAACAGTGCTATTTAAATCTGAATTAGATGCTAGTATACACAAAGCATGTAAGTGGTTTTTGGGAGAGTGTAAGAGTTGTTATTTTCTTTCCATTACTTAATATGACCCTGGAACGCATCTTATCCCTGGATCTAATATCACATTTCAAACAAACAAAGGAGTCACAAACATATATTGCTAGCAGAGGGCAGGCTGAAGTATAAAAATAGAGCTTGAAATCTTGAGGAGGCAGAGACAATCTTCAGGTGGCTATCCACCTCCTCAAAGAGGCCAGGAAAGAACATACACCTCTCTGCTAACTATTGAACTAAGTGGTTGTAGCAGAAAACATATGATGGGACACCACTAATGAGACAACACCTACCAGTGACCAAAGAAGAGCAATAGAAGTGAGGGCAGGTCCAACCCAAACCTGGGAGGACTGGATATGTCTAATACTGCAATACAGCGTTAAACATAACCAAGACAACTTAAATGAACTAGTTTTGTTACAAGAAACAGTCTAGAGGCAGTAGCATGAAGCTTAGTGAAGCTAATTAACTCTGTTTTCCCTGAGAAGGAGAATAAATAAACCCACACTATAACGTCTGTGCTGTTATGGCTTACAGTGCTTCCAGAAATTGAGCTAGTTTCTTTAAAGCTGGCTTGGGTGCCCCTAGGCTACATTGTAGACATTCTAAGATTTTCCATCCTATTGAGATCTAGTCCTAAAAACAGTAGAGAAACTAGGGAGAAAAGGAGACAGAATAAAAGTAACTGCATTTATCTTGCGAAAAGTGGTGACTTGAAGCCATTATTGTGGCTGAAAACATGTAGTATCCAGGAAATAAATTTAAGGAAATAATTCTAGTTAGTAAATAACCTTAACCATGGTGCAAACAACATCATGGGCTGACAATGCAAGGTCACGGTTGGCAGGGCTAACAGGACCTTGTCGTGCATCCACAGGTGCATCTCAAGCAGGTCCAAGGAGGTGATCCTCCCCCTCTTTGCAACACTGGTCAGGCCACAGCTGGAGTACTGTGTCCAGTTCTGTGCGCCCCACTTCAGGAGGGATGTGGACAACATTGAGAGGGTCCAGAGGAGGGCCACCCGCATGATCCAGGGACTACAGGGCAGACCCTACAATGAGAGACTGCGGGACCTGAACCTGTTCAGCCTTCACAAGAGAAGGCTGAGGGGGGACCTGGTGACAGTCTATAAACACACTAGGGGGGACCAGAAGGGTTTGGGAGAGACCTTGTTTCCCCTAGCACCCCCTGGCATAACAAGGAATAA